CATTATGCGATGGAGCCACTATATTTATAAAACATCGAAGTCGTCAACATCAATCTACTGCTTAATTTTACATCTAAATTTAACGGCTAAAATATTTAATTTATTTTTACGCTAATGAAAGAAGAAAGTTTTAAAAATAATGTACTTTTGTGAACTTTCAATCAGTGTGGGCGACTTGAAAAATTACATTTCAATCAAAAGTCGTGCATAATAAGACTTTTAGAAAGTAAATTGGTTTGGGTGAATTGTGGAAATTATATATTGGAAATTATGACTTTTGTGAAATGTTTAATTTTCTGTCCACACCTCAATCCTGTCAATCCGATACTCCGTTCAAATAATATAAAGTGTTAGTTATTTATTCAAATAACTACGGAACTAAATGCCAAATTAGGTTTTTATAGGTTTCAAGACTATTAACTTTTGATATATAACACATTTACATTGATTGAGGCGTTTGAAAATTCAACACAATTCAGATCTTTATTATCAGCATTTTATGCTTATTTCAATGAGCAGAAATCTATGAAAGTTCAATTTGATTATGAAACATTCTTATTGGAGCTTTTGTAAGTAAAATGGAAATATAAGCAATAGTATTAGGAAAAAAAATTATTTTTTTTGTGATCAAGGGACAAAAAAGAGTTTTTCATAATATCAAAGAAAAAATTATGTTTTTATGTCTCCTGTACAAATTAAAACCAACTTACCCACAAAATATAAATTAATGTTTAAATTAACAAAAAAAAATTAAATCGAACTTCGACTAGCCCAAGCTGTTAATAACAATAATGGAGTTAGCATTTGGTGTATTTTTCGATCGTTTCTATTACAGCTATATGATATTGATGTCCGATTATTATAAAATTTAAAACGTAACGTAACAACGTAAAGTATTTTCAAATGAATTTCAAGAAAAGTTATATTTTTTTAATATTAATTTAATTAAATTCTTGTTTGTTTCTAGGAAGCTATTAAATGTTCAAACAAATATAATAATAATGTGACGATCGAACCTTACACTTTAATAAATTCTGATATTAAATTTAGTTACAATTATTATTTACGTTAATAAAATTAAGCTTTATTTTTTTAGAAGCAAAACTTGATTTTTTTTGTTCAGCTTTGTGCCGATTACAAAACTAATTAAAAACATTAAAGTTCATTTTTTATTAAAAAAATAAAAATTTTCTGAATATTTTAGATCGGAAGTTTTTGAAGCTGAATGTGCGATCGTCACTTTGTGCTTACCTCGTCAAGTGGTAACAACAAAAATGTTTGATAAATTGTAAGGGTGTAACTTTTTTTCGATATTTAAAACTTACGTGTTGCATTGTATTTTCTTGAATAAACTGAGGCTCGCCGTCCTGCAGTATACGCATAAATATTTTTAACGAATTTTCTAAGAAAGACGGATAAGCTGGACTTTGCATTATCATTTCAAAGTGTTCACTAAGTTCTTGCGTAGCTTTCAGCTTGAGTTCTTCTTTTGCAGAAGAATCATTAAGAATATTTAAATAATTGCGGAACGTATTTACGGGATTACTTTCGTTCACCGCCATCATATACAATTAAGTAAACACCGACCACTAGAGAAGCCTACACCGGTGTAAACAATATTGAACGACGGAAGGAAACTATTTTTTGGGAGATTAGTTGTCTTTGTAGTTAAGTCATATTTGAAATTTCGGAATAGGAACACAAAGCATTTTCGTGCTTGTCTTAATCCAAGCTGATTGTTTTACGAGTTGTGTTATACACAAAGCTCACACAGAAAATCCGAGAATAATAGCCTATTCACACCATTTTTTTTTGTGGAACAATGGGAAGATATGGAAAAAGTGAAATTAAAGGTGAAGTTAAACAAAACATCATTCATCCCGAGGATGTGAAACAAGAACTAACACTTTAGTCATGTTCCCCGAGTATTCGAAACCGGTGACTTTACTAACAAATTGCAAACTTAATATTACCTCAAAAACAATCGAAATTTAGGTGGTGCCATCTGTCGATATAACCAACTAGAAGTTAAGAGAGTGCATCACCCTACCCGCTAAAAGTTTTTTCGTTCTGTTTTTTTACATCATCGAAAATCAGCGATCACCAGTAGACAAGCGAACGGTCAGCGGCAGTGTGGCCGCACAGCGGCGGCAGAGATTTTAATAACTCTAAATCTTTATAAAAAAGTAGCTCGATTTTGAGATCAATTGCTAAGGTCTAACAGGTCTCATGTCACTGACAGACTTTTGCCATTTGTGGATTTTGAGATCAATTGCTAAGGTCTAACAGGTCTCATGTCACTGAATTGACCTTGCGCTACGAAAGTGAAACTCTTGTTCCAACTCAAAAACACTCGTCAACAGTCACAATTGCGAAAGAAACTTTATTGACTCTCTTAAACTTTTTTAAAAGTTCTCTTCCCTCATTTTATTATTATTAAGTGCTATGAATATTGGTTACATTTTGAATCTAAACTTTAAAATCATAGCTTGTTGCAATTGAAAGCTATCGACAGGGGAATATCGCCCTAAGAGATGGTAGTGTTACCAGTTTTTCAAAGGTTAGCAGGGCCAAGAAAGAGAGGGGAAGTGTGGAGAGTAAGAGGCGCTCTGGTTGACGGTCAGAAAAGAGAACCTTAATCCGCTCTTAGATTCCACCACCTCCCCTGGCCCAGAAGTATCTCCACCCACACCAAACCATGAGGAACTGCACCCACACCGATAGCTGAATGAGAGCCGAGCGGCTACGTGATGCAAATGGAAGGGGTCTCTGCCATTGGCAAAAAACCGAGAAAGGGATCAGGGAAAAAAATCGGGTGATGCTGGTGCTGGGCAGAGGGTATAAATAGGGCTGAAAGGGATCAGGCCACCAGGAGTTCCGAAAAAATTCTTACAGCAGCAAGTGGTTCGGGAAATTTGAAGTGAAAATAATATATATAATATTAAAAGTGAGTTAGATGATGGGGTAGTGGCCATCATTCTAAAGTGTAGTATCATGATAATATAACGAACATCTTCAGAAAAGGAAACGGGACGAGTTTGGCCGAGGAAATAGGACAGGCAACCGGGACCGGGAAAAGAAGGCACCGTCAACGAAGAAGTCACCGTTGGCGAAGTAAACAAATAAATAAATAAAATAAATTATACGATATCTGGACCACGTGCAACCGGCTCCGGGCCAGACCACGACAGGAAGAATTATTCCTTTAACCATATACATACCCAAAACCTTTTGATTTAGCCGCACCACACTGGCACGGGATTTGTTTTCGTTGAAATTTTTCTTGTCGACTATAAAACAATATTGCTCTACAAAAGTTAAAATATGAACTCAGCATTGATAAAAGACTTAAAATAGTTTTTAAGTAAATTAAATAAAACATTCCCCCTTAATATTAGTTAAAATTTCGTCCCAATAATTTAAATGAAAGTCGTTCGTCCACCTTAATCTAAGTTTATATGTTAATTTATTGAATTATTTATGCACCACTAAACTTATATATATATCCCACATACATACATCATATATTGTTTATTAACATATGTCTTAAATAATTTAAATAGTATTTGTAAGTAAAAAGAATTTGATATAATCTGAATTTCGTGAAACAAGGAAAAGAATATACATTTGCATAAAATTACATATGTAAATTTGCGGAGGTCTCGCAGCAGTTGGGATGTAAATTAGCAAGTAAAGTAAATAACCTACACAACTATATGCGAATGTAGAAAGAGGAAAAGTCTCACATTAACAAGTTTAGAAATCCCGAGATAAAAAATGATCTCAATATTAAACCCCTGCTTGGAGCTCCAAATAGGTAGGGTAATTTAAATGAATAATCATGAATTGATCAATATTTATATATTCGTGTATGGGTCAACAAAGGTGTAATTAAAAATTTAAATCAATTTCAAAGGAAGTGTTGCCGTATGAATTTGACATCGCAGCTGTAGCAAGGGGATGCAAATATATGCGTTAGGTTAACAGGAGATATAAAGCAAAAATTTAAGATGAATGTTTATGGTTAATAATAAAATTGTAACGTGAGGATGTTGTGCTAAGTGTTCGTCTATGGGGAGGGGGAAATGAGACTGACCCTGGAGTAGGCTGATGATAGCCATCGGAAGGGAGATTTGGCGAAGGATGCATTCCGGATCTCAGGCAGGGTGGGGGTGTCGGAGTACATCACCTAAACTCCAAATTGTTCGGTGCAAGTAAAGTTTCCAGTAACGTCCAATGTTTATCATTATTTATCCTATTTTGTTTGCATTTTGTTTTGTTTACATTTGATTTTATTGATGTCGTCGGACTGAGATGGCCGATCAGCTGGGCTATTGTGCGGACTGAGGGCTGGGAAGAACCCCACCACGAGATGGACTGGCTAGCCGGCCTTGCCCCATCGAAGAACCAGGTCCGTAACAATAGATGGCGCCCAATTTAAAGGCAGGAGTGGATTCGCTGATCCTGTCATCCGAAAGGTTGGAAAGGATGCGAATTGCACATCGGTAGGAATTATAAATAACCAGCCGAGAGGTAGGATCTCGGAAGGGACTTGGTGATTCGGGTACCTCGGTGACCGATGGCCTTTGAAGGACCTGATGGTCGGTTCAGAGTAGCGCGGTGCCGGGGGATCTGGAAGCAAAGATACCCCAAAGTAAATGTAATTTTTTTTTTGAAAGAGATTGGTACGTATCTGACGAACGGAAGAGGGTGCTCGGTAAGGGTGGTTCGGCACTAGCAGGAAATAATTCTTCGGCTAGTTAGCGACTATCCCGATGCCTGGTGTGCTACTCGAGCGCCTGGAAAATAAAGCAGAATAATAACCGGAATCAGAAATAGTCCAAATAGGGAAAACTTCCCTTACTTACCCGTGATGAGGTCAGGATGTGGAATATCGACTGTGAGTGGCCCGTGGGGACCAGAGAGGTCGGCCACGCGTTGCATTCATGGCGGCTCTTCACTCCTAGAACAATCATTTAGCGATGTAAGTAAGGAGAAGTTTAGATAATAGAATGTCGAGCGCCCTTGACACCTAGTCTTCTGGGGAAGATGGGATGGTCAACAGCGCTCACCGAGAAACTTGTGCTGGAAATTGAGGACACTGAAATCCGGGGTGAAGTTGGCTCCGGTGAATGTTGAGTTTTTCCCTCCTTGTGGTAGTTGTGAAATTTTGTTTGAGTTGTCATTGTGTGTTGTGGCGCAGCCGGTTCAAAACTATAAAAAAAAAGTAAAAGATAAATATTAGTAAAACATCTAAGTAAAGATAGATTAGGAAAAGTTGATGAGCAAGTATTTTTTAAGGTCAAAGGGGAAAATGGTAGACAGGACTCCTCCGCCAGGGAATCCTCGGAAGGGGCATCAAGAAGGAGACGATGACAGCTGGAATTTGCCAATAGCATCGAAGGTCCTGCCATCGGAAATCACATCGGCTGTCAATGTGGCCTTAGCCCAGGCTCAGGAGACGCAACGAGGAGGAATGATGGAGTCCATAAGCCGATCTTTGCAAAAGGAGATCCGGCGCGGGTTTATGGAAATGATGATTGCCGTTACCGAGGCAATGGGACCATTGAAGCAGCAAGTAGAGTTGCTACAGATGCAAGAAGTAGCGAAGGACGGAAGTGATAGCAGGCATAGCAGGAGGCAGGACGAGAAGGACAGGAAGAGCACTGGAACTAAGCCAAAATATTCCACAGGCGTACCTCCAGCTTCGCCGCATACACAACGTCCGCAATCCCTAGATGCAAAACAGTATTCCGCGCAGAACGAACCCATCCAGAGATCTCCTAGGTTCGAGGATGGACGAGCCTTGAGTCAGCAAGCGGAAAGGGAGGTCGAGGGTAGATTTACAAGGTGGGGACGAGTTGAAAAGTGGGAGATATATTTCGATGGAGACCCAAACAAAATGATGGTGGAAGATTTTGTTTTCCGGGTCGAGTTTCTTCGAAGGCAAAGTCGGTGTTCCTGGGATGAGGTCCTCGACAGTTTTCATCACCTGGTCAGGGGCAAAGCGGCCGAGTGGTACTGGCAATTTGTTCGGGAGCGACCGCCCGAGGTTTGGGAAGATCTAAAGGACGAAATTGTGGCCAGGTTTCGAGGCGTCGGTGGTGAGTTGGAGCGGCTACGCGCTCTCCATGAACGGCGACAAAGACCTGGGGAATCAGTCGAGGATTATTTCGGAGCCATGCGACGATTATCGACCAGACTTACCCAACCCATGTCGGAGTCCGAAATGATCCGGGTGATTAAGAAAGGACTCGCTGAGGATATCGCTCGGTATGTTTACGCAGTCAGGGTACGAAGCGTGGAGCAGCTTCGCGAGGAATGCTTGGAAGTGGAAGACACTTTTGTCAGACGAGAGCCCAGGCCAGCATACCGCCCGTCGCAGAAGTTTTCGTCCTCTGGAAAGAGAGTCGATGAAATCATACCGGAACCGAAATCACAGGACAAGGACATGTCCGAATTGTTCGGGAAACGGCCGACCAAGCGTGACGAAAGCAGGCGAGCAACGCTTGGGCCAGAAGCCTGCGTGGAAGTAGATGATAAGGAAGAAGAAAATTATCAGTATATTATTAATAAACAAAATAGATTAGGGATTAATAAATTAAGATTTCTACCAGCAGAAGAAAGAATAAAAAGATATATTGAAGTACGAAACAGGATTTTTGACGCCAGACAGCTTGAAGGTATGCGGGGAGTCAGCCGCAGGCTTCTAAAGACCCGTTCCCGCTTTAAGAAGAGGCGACAAACGCGCCAGGAGGTGGCTGAAGCAATCCAACGTGGAACGAGAACGGATCCAAGGGTTTTCGCTGAGGTGACCATACACGGCCGGAAGATTGCGGGACTGCTGGATACAGGAGCCTCCGTAAGTCTACTGGGCAAAGACAGTAGAGAGCTGCTGGCCAAACTCGGGGTAGAGATGGACAGATATGTGTCCGTCGTTAAAACAGCTGCCGGTGAAGACAGATCCATAATCGGAAAAATAAAGCTTCCTGTTGGATATAAGGGGATTGTAAAGGACATTCTCTTCTACATATGCCCGTACCTGGAACAATCGATGTACTTGGGGATCGATTTCTGGAGATCTTTTGAGTTGGCTCCAGCAGTTCTAGGCGATGAAAACAGCGAATCCAGTCAAGCTCAAGTAGCTGAAGTCAAGATGTCCCAGATCAGCCACTATGCGGAAGATAGAAGACAAGAAACGGAGGTAGAAGCTTGGGACCTGGGAATGAATGAAGCTGAGGAGTTGGAGAACGTGAAGAAGGAATTTTTGACTTACGAAGAAGCCGGGCTAGGAACGACTGCAGCAGAACAGCACCAGATCCAGCTGGTGGAGGGCGCAGTACCGTTTAAGGATCGTTGTTACCCGCTATCACCAGCGATGCAGGAAGTGGTCTGGAAAGAAGTAGACAAAATGCTAGAGCTAGGGGTTATAGAGGTTAGTGATAGTCCGTGGAGCAATAGAACAACGGTCGTGCGAAATCCAGATAAAAACAGATTCTGCTTAGACGCGCGGAAACTTAACCAGCTCACCGTAAAGGACGCCTACCCTCTCCCGAGTATCGAAGGCATATTGTCTAGGATCGACCAGACATATTATATATCTAGCGTCGATCTTAAATTTGCGTTCTGGCAAATAAAATTGGAACCGGAAAGCCGGAAGTATACCGCTTTCACAGTAGCCGGACGACCACTTTACCAATTCGTGATGATGCCTTTCGGCCTCTGCAATGCGGCCCAAAGATTATGTCGATTGATGGACCAAGTCATTCCGACACAACTACGATCAAACGTATTTGTCTATCTGGACGATCTTCTGGTGATAGCTCCTGACTTCCAGACGCATCTGCGATATCTTCGTTTGGTAGCACAATGCCTGAAACGGGCAAATTTGACGATAGGGTTAAAGAAGTCTAAATTTTGATTCAAATCTTTAAAATACCTTGGGTTTATCATTGGGGGTGGAAAGCTGCAAATGGATCCAGAAAGAGTCTTGGCTATACAGAAGATTCCTGATCCGAAGAACATAAAGGAGTTACGAAGCTTCCTAGGTACAGCAGGGTGGTACAGACGATTCATAAAAAACTTTGCATCCATTGCAGCACCGCTAACTGACGCCCTCTAGAAACATCCAAGGGGCAAGTTTTCCTTGACTCCGGAGGCTGTCGAGGCCATAAAGCACTTAAAGATGGCGCTAACTACAGCCCCAGTATTAGTCCATGCTGATTTTAAACGTCCATTCTTTATCCAATGCGACGCCTCTAACTATGGAGTGGGAGCAGTATTGTTCCAGTTGGACGACGAAAATTCAGAACGTCCCGTAGCTTTCTTCTCTTCCAAACTGAATAAACATCAGATTTTGTATTCCGTCACTGAAAAAGAATGTCTGGGAGCGGTATTAGCAGTTGAAAAGTTTAGGCCTTACGAGGAGCTGATGCCGTTTACTGTGATCACGGATCACGCAAGCCTAAAGTGGCTAATGTCCCTCAAGGATCTAAACGGGCGTTTGGCAAGGTGGTCTTTAAGGCTTCAGAGTTTCAACTTTAAAATTGAGCATCGCAAGGGAACTGAAAACGTGGTTGCTGACACCCTGTCACGCTGCATAGCAGAGCTGAGTTTCGATTTATCTGATGCCATTGGGTTTCAGACGACAGAATTCGAGTCCGCGGAATACCAAGAATTAAGAGAAGAAATTAGTCGAAATATAGCAACATTGCCTGATTTACGCGTAGATGGAGGATTAGTCTTCAAAAGAACGACATTCGAACAACTTGACGACCAAGTAGAAGGCTCAATTTGGAAGCTGTGGATCCCGGCAGGAATAACATCTACACTAATAGCGAACGCGCACGAGGATCACAAAGCTGCACACGGGGGGGATGAAAAAGACACTTCATCGTCTGAAACGTCATTTCTACTGGCCGGCTATGACGACACAAGTGCGGGAGTATGTCCGGAATTGCACCAAATGCAAGGAATCAAAACCACCAAATTATCGTTGTCAAGTCGGAATTGGTCAAGAAGTAGTCACGGAACGGCCGTTTCAGAAGATCTATATAGATTTTCTTGGAAAGTATCCCAGGTCCAAAAAGGGACAAGCATATATATTTGTTGTTGTAGATCATTTTTCGAAATTTACCTTTTTAAAAGCGATGAAGGAGGCGAGTGTTGGGAAAGTGGTCGAATTCCTGGTGCACGAGGTGTTTTACAAATTTGGCGTACCTGAGGTAATTCACTCCGACAATGGGAAACAGTTCGTGTCGAAAATATTCCAAGACATGATCACTGCATTCGGCATTCAACACATGCGTACCGCTGTATATTCACCACAGAGCAACGCAGCCGAGAGGGTAAATCGGACCATTCTAGCTGCAATTAGAACGTATTTAGAAAATGATCATCGAGACTGGGACCTATACTTACCGGAAATTGAAGTGTCGATTCGTGATTCCGTGCATGAGGCCACGGGTGTAACACCGTTCTTTGCAGTATTTGGACAACAGATGTTCCTAAATGGAAACTGCTACAAACTGGCAAGAAAACTACAGTCTTTGACAGAACATCAAATAACGACGCTGGATCCAGTAGATAAGCGCCAACTTATCCGCGATCACATTCGGGAGAATCTCCATCAGGCATATGAACGCAGCAGTCAGCGCTATAACAAACGGGCGCGAGTTTTCCATGCCAAGCCTGGCCAAGAAATCTACAGACGCAATTTCACTCAGAGCAATTTTGGAAAGATGTACAATGCCAAGTTTGCTCGAAAATATGTGAAATGCCGAGTCATACGCCCTATAGGGAACAATGCCTACGAATTGGAGGATCTGGGGGGGAAGCCTGTTGGGATTTTCCACGCAAAAGACCTAAAAATGTAAATATAAATAGTGGATGTAGCTGTACCCGTACACACGCATACTTACATATATACCTGGGTAGCAAAACAAGAGTCTAGTGGGTGTAGGCCTACGTTGGGCACAAAAGGCGAATCGGGGGGCAAGGCAGGATAGCAAAGTTGTTGTTTTGATTATTAAAAACACTATAAACACAATTTCACGGCAAGTCAATCTTTCAATGTTTACAAATAATTCGCTTCGGCCAGCATTCTCGCGAATTTTTGTGTGGTGTTGCAATTGAAAGCTATCGACAGGGGAATATCGCCCTAAGAGATGGTAGTGTTACCAGTTTTTCAAAGGTTAGCAGGGCCAAGAAAGAGAGGGGAAGTGTGGAGAGTAAGAGGCGCTCTGGTTGACGGTCAGAAAAGAGAACCTTAATCCGCTCTTAGATTCCACCACCTCCCCTGGCCCAGAAGTATCTCCACCCACACCAAACCATGAGGAACTGCACCCACACCGATAGCTGAATGAGAGCCGAGCGGCTACGTGATGCAAATGGAAGAGGTCTCTGCCATTGGCGAAAAACCGAGAAAGGGATCAGGGAAAAAAATCGGGTGATGCTGGTGCTGGGCAGAGGGTATAAATAGGGCTGAAAGGGATCAGGCCACCAGGAGTTCCGAAAAAATTCTTACAGCAGCAAGTGGTTCGGGAAATTTGAAGTGAAAATAATATATATAATATTAAAAGTGAGTTAGATGATGGGGTAGTGGCCATCATTCTAAAGTGTAGTATCATGATAATATAACGAACATCTTCAGAAAAGGAAACGGGACGAGTTTGGCCGAGGAAATAGGACAGGCAACCGGGACCGGGAAAAGAAGGCACCGTCAACGAAGAAGTCACCGTTGGCGAAGTAAACAAATAAATAAATAAAATAAATTATACGATATCTGGACCACGTGCAACCGGCTCCGGGCCAGACCACGACAGGAAGAATTATTCCTTTAACCATATACATACCCAAAACCTTTTGATTTAGCCGCACCACACTGGCACGGGATTTGTTTTCGTTGAAATTTTTCTTGTCGACTATAAAACAATATTGCTCTACAAAAGTTAAAATATGAACTCAGCATTGATAAAAGACTTAAAATAGTTTTTAAGTAAATTAAATAAAACATTCCCCCTTAATATTAGTTAAAATTTCGTCCCAATAATTTAAATGAAAGTCGTTCGTCCACCTTAATCTAAGTTTATATGTTAATTTATTGAATTATTTATGCACCACTAAACTTATATATATATCCCACATACATACATCATATATTGTTTATTAACATATGTCCTAAATAATTTAAATAGTATTTGTAAGTAAAAAGAATTTGATATAATCAGAATTTCGTGAAACAAGGAAAAGAATATACATTTGCATAAAATTACATATGTAAATTTGCGGAGGTCTCGCAGCAGTTGGGATGTAAATTAGCAAGTAAAGTAAATAACCTACACAACTATATGCGAATGTAGAAAGAGGAAAAGTCTCACATTAACAAGTTTAGAAATCCCGAGATAAAAAATGATCTCAATATTAAACCCCTGGTTGGAGCTCCAAATAGGTAGGGTAATTTAAATGAATAATCATGAATTGATCAATATTTATATATTCGTGTATGGGTCAACAAAGGTGTAATTAAAAATTTAAATCAATTTCAAAGGAAGTGTTGCCGTATGAATTTGACATCGCAGCTGTAGCAAGGGGATGCAAATATATGCGTTAGGTTAACAGGAGATATAAAGCAAAAATTTAAGATGAATGTTTATGGTTAATAATAAAATTGTAACGTGAGGATGTTGTGCTAAGTGTTCGTCTATGGGGAGGGGGAAATGAGACTGACCCTGGAGTAGGCTGATGATAGCCATCGGAAGGGAGATTTGGCGAAGGATGCATGCCGGATCTCAGGCAGGGTGGGGCTGTCGGAGTACATCACCTAAACTCCAAATTGTTCGGTGCAAGTAAAGTTTCCAGTAACGTCCAATGTTTATCATTATTTATCCTATTTTGTTTGCATTTCGTTTTGTTTACATTTGATTTTATTGATGTCGTCGGACTGAGATGGCCGATCAGCTGGGCTATTGTGCGGACTGAGGGCTGGGAAGAACCCCACCACGAGATGGACTGGCTAGCCGGCCTTGCCCCATCGAAGAACCAGGTCCGTAACAAGCTTTTATATAATAGCTATTTGGTATACCATTTTCTGAATGGGGCACCGTTAGCCTTTAAAATCCCCATTCTCTCCTCCACCAAAGCCCCTTGCTCACAGAAAACAGAAATAAAATGGTTTCGCATGGTTTTCCGTTAATTAAACATAAATAAACTAACGGCTAGATAATTTTGGGTAAATTAACCATTTTGATTTTCCTACATTATGACTGTCTTTCGGTTCCCTTCAGATGTTATGTTCATCTTCTCATAAAGGGATCACACAGCTTCCCACACGGCTTTTTTATTTCCTTAACATTACGTGACTTAAAAATAAGTAAATAGTTGAATCAATTTTTTTTGTTGTTTAGCTTTTTTTCAATTAGTGTAAATTTTCTAAAGTAAATTTTAGGACTAATATTAAAAAAGCAGGAATAGCAGTTTTCCAATGAGCCCTGCTAAAATAAGTTAACAACCAGCTCCCAGCGTAAGCTAGGCAGGGCAATCCAATGAACTCCGATGGTCGCCGTTATCGACTTTTAAATTTTATACCCCGAATGAGTCTCAAGGCCAGCGGGTGAAATCCCTAATTAACGTATTTCTACAGTTGATGTCACAGGCCAACCGCTTCCTTCTATATCAATGGCGGCTACGACCACTAGCGGCAACCACGGTCTACCGACCCCCAGCCACGGACGTATAGCCAGAAGACTTCACCCCGTCACTGAAGTGCAGCCAGCCGGCACACGAATTACATAATTGGTGCCCAACCAAAGGAATAATATTAAAAATATTTTTGCAATTAAATATCGCCCTAGGAGATGGCAGTGTGACCAGTTTTCCAAAGGTTGGTAGGGCCAAGAATGGGAGGGGTGGTGTGAAAAGTAAGAGGCGCTCTGGTGGACGAGCAGGAAAGAGTATTTTAATCCGCTCTTAGATTCCACCACCTCCCCTGGCCCAGAAGTATCACCACCCACATCAAACCATGAGGAACTGCACCCACACCGATAGCTGAATGAGAGCCGAGCGGCTACGTGATGCAGATGAAAGAGGTTTCTGCCGTTGGCGAGAAAGGGATCAGAGAAAAAAATCGGGTGATGCTGGGGCTGAGGCAGAGGGTATATATAGGCCTGAAAGAGATGAGGCCACCACGAGATCCAAAAAATTTTTACAGCAGCAAGTGGTCTGGAAAATTTATAGTGAAAAATAAAATATAAAATTAAAAGTGAATTAGATGATGGGGTAGTGGCCATCAGTCTAAAGTGTAGTATCGAGAATAAAATGATATACATCTTCAGGAAGGGAAGACGGGACGAGTTTGGACGACGTAAACGGGAAATCGGCAGCCGGGACCGGGAAAAGAAGACACCGTCAACGAAAAAGTAAGTCCGTTCCAAGGAGAAAAAGTTAATATTAAAAAAACGGGAAAATAAATCTAATATTTTCCGGTTAGGGTCACCGTTGGCGAAATAAATAAATAAATAAAATAAATAAAGATAAGTTATACAATATCTGGACCACGTGCCACCGGCTCCAGGACGGACAACTGCAGGAAGATTTATACTTTTAATCATATACCTAAAAAACGTTTAATTCACCGCACCACACTGGCACTGGATTTTTTTTATTTTTTTCTTGTTGAATAAAAAAACATTATTGCTCTAATTTATGAACGCAACATTAATGAAAGACTTAAAAATAGTTTTTTAATAAATTTAATTAAATTATTCCCTCTAAATATTATTTAAAATTTCGTCCCCAATAATTTAAACAAAATTCGTTTGTCCACCTTAGTCTAAATTTATAAATATAAGTTATATGTATTGAAATATTTATGCACCTTTTAACTTATCTATCCCACATGCATATATCATCAATTGTTTGTTACCATATCTCTATATATACCATTTCTAAATATTATAAGTAGTACCTGTAAGTAAAGGAAAAAATTGATATAATTAAGATTTGGGGAAACAAAGAAAAGATTATACATTTACATAAACAAACCAAAACCTTATGTAAATTTTCGGCGGTCTCGCAACAGTTGGGATGTAAAATAACGATTAAAGTAAATAACATACACAACTATATGCGAATGTAGAAAAAATGTAAATTTTCGGCGGTCTCGCAAAGTTGGGATGTAAAATAACGATTAAAGTAAATAACATACACAACTATATGCGAATGTAGAAAAAAATATATATAAATAACTTTAGAAATCCCGAATAAAAAGATCTCAATATTAAAGCCCTGGTTGGAGCTCCAAATAGGTAGGGCAACTTAATTGTATAGTTATGAATTAATCAATATTTATATGTTCGTATGCGGGTCAACAACCGTGTAATAAAAATGAAATCAATTTAAAAGGAAGTGTTTTTGTATAAATTTGGCATCGCAGCTGTAGCAAGGAGAAGCAAATAAATGAAAATAAATTAACTGAAGTTATTGAATGCAAGAAATGCAAATGAATGTTTATAGGTAATAATAAAATTGTAACGTGAGTATGATGTGCTAAGTGTTTGTCTATGGGGAGGGGTAAATTGGCCAGCGGAAGGGAGATTTGGCGAAGGATGCATGCCAGATCTTATCTCCTAAACTCCAAATTGTTCAGCGCAAGTAAAGTTTCCAGTAACGTCCAATGTGTAACATTCATTTTATTTTTGCTTGCATTTTATTTTGTTTACATTAGGTCTTGTTATGATGTTGTCGGACTGAGATGGCCGATCTGCTGGGCTATTGTGCGGACTGAGGGCTGGGAAGAACCCCACCATGAGATGGACTGGCTAGTCGGACTTGCGCCGTCGAAAAACCAGGTCCGTAACAATATTAATATTCGAACTCCACCCCTGAAGTAATATAATATGTAAGTAACTGAACGCCAACGATAGCTAAAGGTCTACACATAACTTAACACACAATTACCAGTGCCTCAAGTGCATACAGTTTCCTTTGTCCAGCAATAGGAATTTTATTTAAATATTAAAAGAAACTCGGTTTTCGATTTCTGATTTTTGACTTTATTGAGTGCGTGACAAACAAATAAAGTCAAGTAACTCAAGTTACGCACACTTGGATTAGCAGTTTTAAATAAATAAATAAATCACAAAGTATTTTATGTGCTTAGTGTGGGTTTTAATACACATGCAAAGGTTGCCACTTGCTTTTTTTCTTGTTTCTTTTTTACAAGTTGAACCACTGTGCCTGTGCTTATATTGAATTATGTACCGAAGTAATCCAGTGTATCTGTATTAATAGTCGAATTGACCAATATCTGTCGTCTAACTCCTTGATCGTTTCGTAAATTTGTTCTTTGAATTTGTTCTTGGGATAAATGAATCCAACATTTTTGTGTTTTAGGTGACACTATAATATTAGCGCGAAAAAATCACCTCGACCTGTTTCTCTTATTTTTGCGGTTTTGGCCACGGTGCCTGTGTCGATATTGCAGAAAATTGGCCCCATCAAAACAAATAATATTGTGTCCCAATCGTTCAATACTTCGCATTTGTCCAGTATATCTGCCGTTAACTTACTCAGCTCTCTTTAGCTGCCAATGAGCTGGGAGTATAGGGAAGTAAAGCAAGAAATTGATAGCAACGGCAGCGAAGAAGTAGAATTAAGCCGGCAGTCCATCTTTGATAACCTACACAACTATATGCGAATGTAAAAAAAAAGAAAAGTCTCATGTAAATAAGTTTACAAAACCCGAGATAACCCGATTAAACCTTTGGTTGGAGCTCCAAATAGGTAGGGTAATTTTATTGTATAATTATGAATTAATCTATATTTATATGTTCGTATGTGGGTCAACAATGGTGTAATGAAAATTTAAATCAATTTCAAAGGAAGTGTTTTCGTATGAATTTGGCATCGCATCTGTAGCAAAGGGAAGCAAACAAATGCAAATAAATTAACGGAAGATATATAATGCAAGAAATGAAGATGAATGTTTATAGTTAATAATAAATTTGTAACGTGAGGATGATGTGCTAAGTGCTCGTCTATGGGGAGGGGGAAATGAGACTGACCCTGGAGTAGGCTGACGGTAGCCAGCGGAAGGGAGATTTGGCGAAGGATGCATGCCGGATCTCAGGTAGGGTGGGGGTGTCGGAGTACAACACCTAAACTCCAATTTGTTCAGCGCAAGTAAAGTCTCCAGTAACGTCCAATGTATATAATTATTTATTATATTTTTGTTTGAATTTTATTTTTGTTTACATTTGATCTTGTTATGATGTCGTCGGACTGAGATGACCGATCAGCTGGGCTATTGTGCGTACTGAGGGCTGGGAAGAACCCCACCATGAGATGGACTGACTAGCCGGCCTTGCCCCATCGAAAAACAGGTCCGTGACAATAGATGGCGCCCAAATTAAAGGCAGGAGTGAATACGCTGATCATATCATCCGTAAGGGTCGAAAAGGATGCGAATTGCACGCCGGTGGGAATTATAAATAACCAGTCGAGAGGTAGGATCTCGGAGGGGACTTGGCGATTCGGATACCTCGGTGACTGATGGCCTATGAAGGACCTGATGGTCGGCTCATAGTAGCGCGGTGCCGGGGGGATCTGGAAGCAAAGATACCCCAAAGTAAATGTCAAGTTTTTTTTTGTTGAAAGAGATTGGTACTTATCTGACGAACGGAAGAGGGTGCTCGGTAAGGGTGGTTCGGCACTAGCAGGAAATATTTCTATGGCTAGTTATATGGAAAATAGAGCAGAGTAATAGCCGGAGTCAGTTATAGTCCAAATAGGGAAAACTTCCCTTATTTACCCGTGATGAGGTCAGGATGTGAAGATTCGACTGTGAGTGGCCCATGGGGACCAGAGAATTCGGCCACTCGTTGCACTTATGGCGGTTCGTCACTCCTAGAACAATCATTTAGTGATGTAAGTAAGTGGGAAGTACAGATAATAGAGTGGCGAGCGCCCTTGACACCTAGTCTTCTGTGGAAGATGGGATGGTCAACAGCGCTCACCGAGAAACTTGTGCTGGAAATAGAAGACACTGAAATCCGGGGGTGAAGTTAGCTCCGGTGAATGTAGTGTTTGTCCCTCCCTGTTGTAGTTGTGCTTATTTTTGTTCGAGGTGTCATTGTGTGTTGTGGCCAGTTCAAAACTATAAAAAAATAAAAGATAAATATTAGTAAAACATCTAAGTAGAGATAGATTAGAAAAAGTTTATGAGCAAGTATTTTTTAAGGTCAAAGGGGAAAATGGTAGACAGGACTCCTCCACCAGGCAATCCTCGGCAGGAGCCACAAGAAAGAGACGATGACAGCTGGAATTTGCCAGAAGCATCGAAGGTTCTGCCATCAGAAATCACATCGGCTGTCAATGTGACCTTAGCCAAGGCTCAGGAGACGCAACGAGGAGGAATGATGGAGTCCATTAGCCGATCTTTGCAAGAGGAAATCCGGCGATATGGAAATGATTATTGCCGTTACCGAGGCAATGGGACCATTGAACGTACCCAACCCATGTCGGAGTCCGAAATGATCCGGGTGATTAAGAACCAGTACCCAGTCAGGGTACGAAGCGTGGAGCAGCTTCGCGAGGAATGCTTGGGGGTGGAAGACACTTTTGTCAGAACAGAGCCCTGGCCAGCATACAGACCATCGCAGAAGTTTTCGTCCTCTGGAAAGAGAGTCGAAGAAATCACACCGGAGCCGGATTCGCAAGACAAGGAAGAAGCGGTGATTATGGAGGAGGCTCACCTGTTGACCAAGCCGAGGATGTGTTGTTGGAACTACGGCCAGTTTGATCACGGATTCCGCGATTGTGTGGCCAAGGAACGCAGCATCTTTTGTTACCGCTGTGGAAAACCGGAACACTTTACTCCGACATGTGCGAATTGTTCGGGAAACAGCCGACCAAGCGTGACGAAATCAGGTGAGCAACGCTTAGGCTAGAAACCTGCGTCGAAGTAGATGATAAGCTTGAAGTAAATGATCAACATATTATTAATAAACAAAATATATTAGATATTAATAAGTTAAGGTTTCTACCAGCCGAGGAAAGAATGAAAAGATATATGGAAGTCGGAAACAGGATTTTCGACGCCAGACAGCTTGCAGGTATGCGGGGAGTCAGCCGCAGGGTTCTAAAGACCCGCTCACGCTTTAAGGCGACAAACGCGTAAGTAGGTGGCGAATCAGTCCAACGTGGAACGAGAACGGATCCATTGGTTTTCGCTGGGGTACCATACACGGCCGGAAGATTGCGGGACTGCTGGATACAGGAGCCTCTGTAAGTCTACTGGGCGAAGACAGTAGGGAGCTGATGGCCGAACTCGGGGTAGAGATGGACAGATATGTGTTCGTCGCGAAGACAGATCTATAATTGGAAAAATATAGCTTCCTGTTGGATACAAGGGGATTGTAGAAGACATTCACTTCTACATATGCCCGTACCTGGAACAATCGATGTACTTGGGTATCGATATCTGGAGATTTTTGAGTTGGCTCCAGCAGTTCTAGGCGACGAAAACAGCGAATCCAGTCACGCCCAAGTAGCTGAAGTCAAGATGTCCCAGATCAGCCACTATGCGGAAGATAGAAGACAAGAAACGGAGGTAGAACTTGGGACCTGAAAAAGAATGAAGCTGAGGATTTGGAAAACGTGAAGAAGGAATTTTTGACTTACGAAGAAGCTGGACTAGGAACGACTGCAGCAGAACAGCACTATATCCAGTTGGTGGAGGGCGCAGTACCGTTTAAGGATCGTTGTTCTCCGCTATCACCAGCGGTGCAGGAAGTGGTCTGGAAAAAAGTAGACAAAATGCTAGAGCTAGAGGTTATAGAGGTTAGTGACAGTCTGTGGAGCAATAGAATAACGGTCGTGCGAAAGCCAGATAAAAACAGATTCTGCTTGGACGCGCGGAAACTTAACCAACTCACCATAAAGGACGCCTACCCTCTCCCGAGTATCGAAGGCATATTGTCTAGGATCGACCAGACATAATATATATCTAGCGTCGATCTTAAATTTTGCGTTCTGACAAATAAAATTGGAACCGGAAAGCCGGAAGTATACCGCTTTCACAGTAGCCGGACGTCCACTTTACCAATTCGTGATGATGCCCTTCGGTCTCTGCAATGCTGCCCAAAGATTATGTCGACTGATGGACCAAGTCATTCCAACACAACTACGATCAAACGTATTTGTCTATCTGGACGATCTTCTGGTGATAGCTCCTGGCCTCCAGACGCATCTGCGATTTCTCCGTTTGTCAGCACAATGCCTGATACGAGCAAATTTAACGATAGGGCTAAAGAAGTCTAAATTTTGTTTCAAATCTTTAAAATACTTGGGGGTGGAAAGCTGCAAATGGATCCAGAAAGAGTGTTGGCCATACAGAAGAATCCTGATCCGAAGAACATAAAGGAGATACTAAGCTTCCTAGGTACAGCAGGGTGACACAGGCGATTCATTAAAAACTTTGCATCCATTGCAGCACCGCTAACCGACGACCTCAAGAAACATCCAAGAGGCAAGATGGCGCTAACTACAGCGCCAATATTAGTCCATGCTGATTTTAAACGTCCATTCTTTATCCAATGCTACGCCTCTAACAATGGAGTGGGAGCAGTATTGTTCCAGTTGGACGACGAAAATTCAGAGCGTCCCGTAGCTTTCTTCTCTTCCAAGCTTAATAGTATAAACATCAGATTTTGTATTCCATCACTGAAAAAGAATGTCTGGGAGCGATGTTAGTAGTTGAAAAGTTTAGGCCTTACGTGGAGCTGATGCCGTTTTTTGTGATCACGGACCACGCAAGCCTAAAATGGCTAATGTCCCTCAAGGATCTAAATGGACGTTTGGCAAGGTGGTCTTTAAAGCTTCAGAGTTTTAACTTTAAAATTGAGCATCGCAAGGAAACTGAGAACGTGGTTGCTGACACCCTGTCACGCTGCATAGCGGAGTTAAGTTTGGATTTATCAGATGCAACATTGCCTGATTTACGCGTGGATGGGGCTTTAATCTTCAAAAGAACAGCATTCGAACATCTTGACGACCAAGTTGAAGGCTCAATTTGGAAGCTGTGGATCCCGACAGGAATAACATCTACACTTACAGCGAACGCGCACGAGGATCACAAAGCTGCACACGGGGGGATGAAAAAGACACTTCATCGTCTAAAACGTCATTTCTACTGGCCGGCTATGACGACACAAGTGCGGGAGTATGTCCGGAATTGCACCAAATGCAAGGAATCAAAACTGCAATTAGAACGTATTTAGAATATGATCATAGAGACTGGGACTTATACTTACCGGAAATAGAAGTGTCGATTGTCGACTGGCAAGAAAACTGCAGTCCTTGACAGAACATCAAATAACGAAGCTAGATCCAGTAGATAAGCGCCAACTTATCCGCGATCACATCCGGAAAAATCTTCATCAGGCATATGAATACAGCAACCAGCGCTATAACAAACGGGCTCGAGTTTTCCATGCCAAGCCTGGCCAAGAATGATGTACAATGCCAAGTTTGCTCGAAAATATGTGAAATGCCGAGTCGGTCTCCCTATAGGGAACAATGCCTACGATTTGGAGGATCTGGGGGGAAGCCTGTTGGGATTTTCCACGCAAAAGACCTAAAAATGTAAATATAAATAGTGGATGTAGCTGTAGGCGTCACAAGCATCACAAGGAGAATTGATCTAGTCTGTCCGTCCCAAAAGTAGAAACTTTCCCAAAAGTTGTCTTCCTATTGCAGGTAGTATATAAGTCGGAACGAGTCGAATCAGACGACGTTATCATATAGCTCCCATAGAAACAATCGGAAACTTAAAAATAATATCAAAAAAAATTAAATTAAAATTTTTTTGTTAATTGTTTTGGCCATATGAATGGTTTAATAATTCAGAATTACGCTTTTAATTTTATTTAAATCGAAAAACGATATAATAAAGCTGCAATAGAAACATCAAAATAATTGAAGTGAAAATTATTTCCATTTCCGATCAAAGATATGCATGAACCTTTTAGAGTACTATGTAATTACTATAACAAACTCTATCACATAATTTCTGTTACCTACTCTTTAAAAGCATTAAGCTTATTTTACTTACCACGAAATTAGTATGTAGTATTTTGTTTCGTAAGTATTTTGAATTCCTTTCCTTCCGTTCCTTTTTTGTCCCTTTTCTTCGATATCTCGCTAAATGAATGGATAAAGATGCGAATCTTAATTTTTCAGCAAAAAATTATTTTCAAAAAAGAACCTTCGTATCTTTTCGAAGAACTTCAGTTTACATCCTCTAGAAGAGCAAACAATCTTATTTGCATAAGACCTAGATCACTGCATCCGAAAGACAATTTTTAATTAAAGGCATTCGATCATTGAATCAGTTCCCCAACCATCTTAAAAATATTAGCAGTGCCACGCAATTCAAGATAAAATTATTCACACACCTTAAAAATACAATTACGTAAATTAAAGAAAAATTGGAAGGCGACTTAGGTTAGTTTTTATGAAAATTAGTTTAAAGTATAATGTAACAATTAAATATTTGCAACTCTTAGTGACTAGCGCATTATTAATAAACAAAATATATTAGGTATTAATAAGTTAAGGTTTCTACCAGCCGAGGAAAGAATGAAAATATATATGGAAGTCGGAAACAGGATTTTCGACGCCAGACAGCTTGCAGGTATGCGGGGAGTCAGCCGCAGGGTTCTAAAGACCCGCTCACGCTTTAAGGCGACAAACGCGTAAGTAGGTGGCGAATCAGTCCAACGTGGAACGAGAACGGATCCATGGGTTTTCGCTGGGGTACCATACACGGCCGGAAGATTGCGGGACTGCTGGATACAGGAGCCTCCGTAAGTCTACTGGGCGAAGACAGTAGGGAGCTGATGGCCGAACTCGGGGTAGAGATGGAAGGATATGTGTTCGTCGCGAAGACAGATCTATAATTGGAAAAATATAGCTTCCTGTTGGATACAAGGGGATTGTAGAAGACATTCACTTCTACATATGCCCGTACCTGGAACAATCGATGTACTTGGGTATCGATATCTGGAGATTTTTGAGTTGGCTCCAGCAGTTCTAGGCGACGAAAACAGCGAATCCAGTCACGCCCAAGTAGCTGAAGTCAAGATGTCCGAGATCAGCCACTATGCGGAAGATAGAAGACAAGAAACGGAAGTAGAACTTGGGACCTGAAAAAGAATGAAGCTGAGAAGTTGGAAAACGTGAAGAAGGAATTTTTGACTTACGAAGAAGCTGGGCTAGGAACGACTGCAGCAGAACAGCACTATATCCAGTTGGTGGGGGCGCAGTACCGTTTAAGGATCGTTGTTATCCGCTATCACCAGCGATGCAGGAAGTGGTCTGGAAAGAAGTAGACAAAATGCTAGAGCTAGAGGTTATAGAGGTTAGTGACAGTCTGTGGAGCAATAGAATAACGGTCGTGCGAAAGCCAGATAAAAACCGATTCTGCTTGGACGCGCGGAAACTTAACCAACTCACCATAAAGGACGCCTACCCTCTCCCGAGTATCGAAGGCATATTGTCTAGGATCGACCAGACATAATATATATCTAGCGTCAATCTTAAATTTTGCGTTCTGACAAATAAAATTGGAACCGGAAAGCCGGAAGTATACCGCTTTCACAGTAGCCGGACGTCCACTTTACCAATTCGTGATGATGCCCTTCGGTCTCTGCAATGCTGCCCAAAGATTATGTCGACTGATGGACCAAGTCATTCCAACACAACTACGATCAAACGTATTTGTCTATCTGGACGATCTTCTGGTGATAGCTCCTGGCCTCCAGACGCATCTGCGATTTCTCCGTTTGTCAGCACAATGCCTGATACGAGCAAATTTAACGATAGGGCTAAAGAAGTCTAAATTTTGTTTCAAATCTTTAAAATACTTTGAGTTTATCATTGGGGGTGGAAGCTGCAAATGGATCCAGAAAGAGTGTTGGCCATACAGAAGAATCCTGATCCGAAGAACGTAATGGAGATACTAAGCTTCCTAGGTACAGCAGGGTGACACAGGCGATTCATTAAAAACTTTGCATCCATTGCAGCACCGCTAACCGACGACCTCAAGAAACATCCAAGAGGCAAGATGGCGCTAACTACAGCGCAAATATTAGTCCATGCTGATTTTAAACGTCCATTCTTTATCCAATGCTACGCCTCTAACAATGGAGTGGGAGCAGTATTGTTCCAGTTGGACGACGAAAATTCAGAGCGTCCCGTAGCTTTCTTCTCTTCCAAGCTTAATAGTATAAACATCAGATTTTGTATTCCATCACTGAAAAAGAATGTCTGGGAGCGATGTTAGTAGTTGAAAAGTTTAGGCCTTACGTGGAGCTGATGCCGTTTTTTGTGATCACGGACCACGCAAGCCTAAAATGGCTAATGTCCCTCAAGGATCTAAATGGACGTTTGGCAAGGTGGTCTTTAAAGCTTCAGAGTTTTAACTTTAAAATTGAGCATCGCAAGGAAACTGAGAACGTGGTTGCTGACACCCTGTCACGCTGCATAGCGGAGTTAAGTTTGGATTTATCAGATGCAACATTGCCTGATTTACGCGTGGATGGGGCTTTAATCTTCAAAAGAACAGCATTCGAACATCTTGACGACCAAGTTGAAGGCTCAATTTGGAAGCTGTGGATCCCGACAGGAATAACATCTACACTTACAGCGAACGCGCACGAGGATCACAAAGCTGCACACGGGGGGATGAAAAAGACACTTCATCGTCTAAAACGTCATTTCTACTGGCCGGCTATGACGACACAAGTGCGGGAGTATGTCCGGAATTGCACCAAATGCAAGGAATCAAAACTGCAATTAGAACGTATTTAGAATATGATCATAGAGACTGGGACTTATACTTACCGGAAATAGAAGTGTCGATTGTCGACTGGCAAGAAAACTGCAGTCCTTGACAGAACATCAAATAACGAAGCTAGATCCAGTAGATAAGCGCCAACTTATCCGCGATCACATCCGGAAAAATCTTCATCAGGCATATGAATACAGCAACCAGCGCTATAACAAACGGGCTCGAGTTTTCCATGCCAAGCCTGGCCAAGAATGATGTACAATGCCAAGTTTGCTCGAAAATATGTGAAATGCCGAGTCGGTCTCCCTATAGGGAACAATGCCTACGATTTGGAGGATCTGGGGGGGAAGCCTGTTGGGATTTTCCACGCAAAAGACCTAAAAATGTAAATATAAATAGTGGATGTAGCTGTAGGCGTCACAAGCATCACAAGGAGAATTGATCTAGTCTGTCCGTCCCAAAAGTAGAAACTTTCCCAAAAGTTGTCTTCCTATTGCAGGTAGTATATAAGTCGGAACGAGTCGAATCAGACGACGTTATCATATAGCTCCCATAGAAACAATCGGAAACTTAAAAATAATATCAAAAAAAATTAAATTAAAATTTTTTTGTTAATTGTTTTGGCCATATGAATGGTTTAATAATTCAGAATTACGCTTTTAATTTTATTTAAATCGAAAAACGATATAATAAAGCTGCAATAGAAACATCAAAATAATTGAAGTGAAAATTATTTCCATTTCCGATCAAAGATATGCATGAACCTTTTAGAGTACTATGTAATTACTATAACAAACTCTATCACATAATTTCTGTTACCTACTCTTTAAAAGCATTAAGCTTATTTTACTTACCACGAAATTAGTATGTAGTATTTTGTTTCGTAAGTATTTTGAATTCCTTTCCTTCCGTTCCTTTTTTGTCCCTTTTCTTCGATATCTCGCTAAATGAATGGATAAAGATGCGAATCTTAATTTTTCAGCAAAAAATTATTTTCAAAAAAGAACCTTCGTATCTTTTCGAAGAACTTCAGTTTACATCCTCTAGAAGAGCAAACAATCTTATTTGCATAAGACCTAGATCACTGCATCCGAAAGACAATTTTTAATTAAAGGCATTCGATCATTGAATCAGTTCCCCAACCATCTTAAAAATATTAGCAGTGCCACGCAATTCAAGATAAAATTATTCACACACCTTAAAAATACAATTACGTAAATTAAAGAAAAATTGGAAGGCGACTTAGGTTAGTTTTTATGAAAATTAGTTTAAAGTATAATGTAACAATTAAATATTTGCAACTCTTAGTGACTAGCGCATTAGCTTATAAGTTCCAAAATTGTAGCGTTAGGATGAAATTTTGTAATAAAATACAAAATACAAATAAAAAGAGTTGTTCACTTAAGTGAGTGAACTGAACATGTTCACAATTATTGATCTTTTTTGCTCACTTTTAGTCACAGTTACTCACTTGTTCAGTTGCTCAGTTGTTCAGTTAAGTTGTTGTTAGGCATGCCAACTAAATGGAACAACCAATCACTTTGAGTAGTGAATTTAAACTGTTTTATTTTTCCAAATTTTGTTTCCAAGATTCTTATTCTAGACTTATCTATGGCCTACGCAGAGACCGCATTAGTTTGCCTGAGAGAGGTAGTTATCTCTTGGCCCCGCACAGGAGCCCTTGGTGCAGTGTGTGAGACATGCAGTTACAAGTGCTAAGAGCTGCACCCTTGTCTTATTTTAAGTAACACATCGTAAATTATGGCTCTAGATCGATTAGTAGCCTGATTCGATTGACGCATTAGTGGACTTTTTAAATGTGCTGATTCCTTTGGCGCATTAGCATTTAGCTATTGCTAACAGCTGATCTGGATTTTTTTACTTTGAACTGTCGCAAATCAAACGGAATAAATTAAAAATCATGAATATGAGCGAATTTACGGTAATCTTTAATGATCAGCAGGATATCAACAATGCTAACTAGGCATTTGCCAACTTGGATGATAAGGAAGGGGAGCTGATGAAGTTGTTTGACGGGTTTGCAAAGGAGACCATCACAGTTTATAAAATAGAGCAAGGATCCCCGTATATGTGGGAGTTTTTTACTGCCAGAGATCCAGCAGTAATGCATTGTGCCAGCTTTAAAGCTGCTTTAAGATGTATAGTCATGGTTGCCGTGTCAATTCTTCGACCAGATTTTGCGTTAGATCACGAAGACTGGCAAATAGTTGAAGATGAGTTCCCAGTACTGAAACCGTAACTGTAAAAACATATTCTGCAAAAAATTTTACTCTCTCAAGGGTCATAATTCTAAGTAAACTTTTACATTCAAAAATGAAAAAAATGTGTTCCATAAATGTATCGGTTACAATGATATTTGAGGAGCTGCAAAGCGAAATGGCACGCCGATTCAAAGATTTGGAAGAGATTGACCTCTTTAAAGAATGTCTGTACTTTACTACTTTACTGCTCGAAAGGAGGATACATTGATATGGTGGAAGTCAAGGAAAGACATTTATCCTCGATTGTATAACATTGCATTACAGCGCCTATGTTTGCTGGCAACGTCTGATTTTATAGTATTTGATAAGAGGGATGTTAATAATAACATAGACCATATAAGACAGCAGGAAAATAATAGTAAAATAATGTCAGCAAGTGAAACATGTTAGCAAACTTGATCAACTAAATAGCTGAAAACATAAACAACTGAACAAATGAGCAACTGAACACGTGAGCAAAAAAAAAAATAATTTACGGATAAATAACGGCAAATTCCACGCTAAAAAATTTTTGGAAAAGTTAAAGTTTAATAAGATGTTCTGCTAACTTGATATCAAGTTAGCAGAACAACTATGTTTTAAAAAAGAATTTACGAATTATTTACGGATAAATAACGGCAAATTCCAACTTGATATCAAGTTAGCAGAACAACTATGTTTAAAAAAAAAAATCCAGGAGCGGCAAATTTTTTTCTTTCACGAATAATTTACGGATAAATAACGGCAAATTGTCAGTTAAAAATTTTTTGGAAAAATTCAAGTTTGATATCAAGTTAGCAGAACATCTCATAATTTAAAAAAAAAATGAGCGGCAAATTTTTTTCTTTCACGAATAATTTACGGATAAATAACGATCGATAAGAAAAAAATTAAATTTCAAAAGTTGTTCTGCTAACTTTATGCACATGTTATAGGCCAACCAAAGGTTTGCAACACCCTAAGTGTGCTCGGTATCGTTTTCTTGGTAAAAGGCAAGTTGTTTTCGATATCCAATTTTTAACACTTGGCTTCACATTTGGTTTTAAAATTTTAAGGTACCCAAATTTATCCATTATACCATCTATAAAATGTAATGGGCCTATGCAGCCCCAAACCATCACAGAACCTCTTCCATCTAAATTAAATTTACTTTCATCGGTAAATTGTACCTTCAATAAACTAGTTCCAATAACAAAAATGAATTTCTGATTTTATTAATGGGCTTATGACACTACATTGCTGGCCTCATTCATTGATAATTTTTTTAAAGCTATACGATTTTACGTACACTAGTCGGCATAATTATTTTGACGAAACAACTCTTTTTTGACTATTGAACTTAGCGTTGCTGGAAATGAGGCGCAAAACAAAGAATATATTTTTACCTATGTGCATGCCAAATTTTATTTCCTTTACCTTTTGCATTCAATTTTTACTGATAAGAATGCATGTGGTCAACGGTTTTCTACGTGGCACAAGTATTTTGACAGCATCTTTATGGAAATATTTTCAAACTTTTAAGCACGCGAGAACCAATGAACTTCTGTGTTTCATTTGGAGTAATATTAAACGTTGTTATTAAAACAGAAAGTTATTAAAAATCAGTCAATAACATGGGTAAAACGGCAGAGCTAAGTTTGGTTACCAGATCTTCAATAGTAGCAAAGTTTAACGCTGGAATAGCAGTCAAAGACATTGCCAATGAGTTTTGTGTGTCGCGTCAAACTGTGCACTACCAAATTAAAAAGTTTAAAAAGCATAATGACATGCGTAATTGAAAAAGATCGGGTGCTAAGCGCAAAACAGATCTCAGTGAAGACCGAGTCCTTGTATGGGAATTTAAAAAGAATATTTTTTTAAAGCCCCAATCCGCAGCAGATCAATTTAATTTGACAGCTAAGACACTGATTAGTGAGCGCACAGTCCGTCGGCGATTAAAAGAATGCGATTTTAAGACTTATAAAGCCAAGGACGTACCATATATAACAGAAAAAAACAAGCTGAAAAGACTGTCTTTCGCAAAGGAACATCTTCATAAGCCAAAGGAGTTCTGGAGAAGCGTTCTATGGACAGATGAAAGTTCCTTTGAGTATAATTCATCAAAAAATAAATTTTTTGTAAGATTACCAATTCTCCAAAGGCAGAAACGGCGGCCCGTTTGCCAAAAAGTAAGCCATGGTGGAGGCTCTGTGATGTTCTGGGGATGTGTGGCTTATAATGGACTGGGTGACCTCGTTCCTGTCACTGGCTCGATGAACCAAGGCCAGTATTTGCGGGTTCTAAATGATAATGCGTTTAGTTCCGGAGACAGGCTTATTGGACACACCTTCATTTTGCAACAGGATAACGCCCCATGTCACAAAGCCAAAATAATTACAACATTTTTGAAGGATGTTGGTGTTACCACTTTGGACTGGCCACCTCAAAGTCCAGATTTAAATATAATTGAAAACGTCTGGTCTCTTATAAAACGTAAAAGAACAGTATCGTTGAATAAAACCAGAGAGGAGACAATTTCTGAGGTCACTTCCCTTTGGGAAGAGATATCTCTAGAGATTATCCAAAATTTAGTCGATTCAGTACCGCGACGCTTGCAAAATTTGTTGAAACCAAAGGAAATTATATATTTTACTAAATTATTTTTTTCCTTTGGTTTTTTTAAGTTTAAGCTTTATTATTCATATTAAAAGGTACTTGTCAAAATACTTATGCCACCACATGAAAATTACTTTAGCTTATATTTTTTTAAGTTCATATGACAAAATGTTGAATTCATTATTTTTAAGTTTGTATTAGCACTAAGTAAAACAGAAAAAAAAATCATTGAGTTATATTAAACCATTAAAAAGTTAAATACAAATTTGAACCATTAGTTTTTCGTCAAAATAATTATGCCGACTAGGACTAGTGTATGACAATTCCAATGAGCAATGAATGAAGAAAATTGACAGAACCCGATAACCGATAGTAAAAACACTAGACGGAATTGGGTGAAAAAAATATCATTCGGTAAAATACCACCGGGGCCGATACATCAATGGGCAAAATTGTATTTAAGAAGTACAATTTTGGAGTTGACGACATAAATGATGTAAAAAGCGAGGCTTAAATGTATAAAAAACTATTTTTTTTACCATTTCAAGGTAACAACTGAAAACCTTCCAACGTTAAAATAAGCGGGATAAACACAATATGATAAGCAAAACAACAAAGTTTGAATTTATGTGAAAAAGGCAGAGTGACCGTGAACTTATTACCAGAAAATCTCAAGCAGTATCCAAATAGTTGTCTCTGTCTCTGAGCTTTAATGAATCCAACAATGAATGAGGCGAACAATGTAATCTCATACCCGTATAAGTTTTTCCTCTTTTCAGCACATGTAAATTCCTTTGCAAATTTAACTCTGCATTTTTTTTTCGGCTAATAAAAGGCTGTTTTTGGCAATTCTGCAATTGTAATCAAATTTATGCAGATTATAACGCACAGTATTCAAGCGAACTTATTTACCAGTTCGGGTTTTTAAAGAAATTTTCAGTTCTTTGCCGGTTTTGAATTGATCTTGCTTAATTTCCTTTAAAACTGATCGCTCTTCTCGGTCATGTTGTATCTTGTTTTGACCTTCTCTGCTTTTATTGGCCGGTCTGAATTCATCACGGATTCTTTTGATTATGTCATGGACAAT